TACGTGTACATGTGACATGATTAGAGGTCAGTAGATGTAGATGTAGTAGTCAGCTACATGAGTTGACTAGTCGACTCTCACGTGAGTCACGGTAACCATGTACACACAGAGGCGGCCATTTTTTTGTTGGTTCCCATGACAACGGTCGCATAATTTTCGCGAATTGGGTTGATTTTTTTCAATTTTTAGGTTTTTTTAATTTCTTCCTATTTTCCTGAAAATCCTGCTGAATTTATGGAATGCAGAATGCCCCAACAAGACTGCATTTTGCATCCGCAACTTGGCAAAAATATTTCGAAAAATGTGGACAACCCTACTGACAATACAACTTGTCAAGTCACGAAGGACATACCCGGTATCACTACCACCATATCAGCATACAGTCACAACACATTGGCCGAAAACAAAAGTACAAACAAGCCGAGGGAAAGATACCCCGTTAGGCAGCCAGCAAGGGGATGGCATCGCAACCCACAGATCAGCTATTGAAAATAATTACAGGTTACCAGCGTTAAAAGAAAAAGATCGGTGGAAAGATCCATGCTATGTGCCAAGTGGCGAAACAAGCCAGATCATCTTCTGTTGCATTGGAGACTAGGTTTTGCTGATGTGCATGCACTACTTCAATACAGCAGTGCTGTTGGATAGCATTGGGCAATCTCTTTCTCCAAGTTCCTGCTACCATATAAGATAACGACACGATACTGAAGATAGCGCGGCGTTGCCTTTCTCGAACTCTTCCTGGTGCAGTAATGAGTACGTTCGTGCCTCCGCGTTCTTGTACAGCTGCTGGCTACAGGACTGTGCTCACCCGACACAACAAGCCTTCGAAGGTTCGCTCACGCCGGGCCATACACCACCGAGTGCACCACTACACTACATACCAGGTACATACAAGTAGGTGGTTAACAACGTGGAAAGGTGTGCTAGCATGGATCAAGTGCTTCTCTCCTGCCCTGACGCAATTCGTCACTATAGGCATTCTGATAAAGGCACGATCAAAGACATGTACAATTTGCATTCGCACGCCCTTCCCTTGCCTTCACTTCATCAAGGGCAGCTGGAGATTGATAGTCTGTCTCGTCAAATGTACAGCAGTCAAGAATAATAAAACAGCTAGCTTGACAATCTCCCTTTCCTCGTGCTGTAGCCTGATTACACGTTTAAAGCTCTAGGCATTTGAAAAGCAATGGGATGAATACTATGTACATATCTGGGTGTCGGGGAGGGTGGATGCATGGAAAATCAAACAAAAAGCAAAAAAAAGCCTGCCAACGAAACACTTCTAGCGGCATACTGGGCTTGATATAGAAGAGAACAAGACGAGACAATGGCCTTGGGTGTAACGTCACGCAAGCACACCGAGTGTCACTAAGCACCTGCTAAAAGCACTGAGATCATTTCGGAATGGCGAGGCAAGCAGACGCAGACCAGGCTAAGCATAGCACTCATGATGAGTAACCAAGGACTCCAGCCAGGCCAAGCATAGCACTCATGATGAGTAACCAAGGACTCCAGCCAGGCCAACCACAGTATTCATGATGAGTAACCAAGGACTCCAGCCAGGCCAAGCATAGCACTCATGATGAGTAACCAAGGACTCCAGCCAGGCCAAGCATAGCATTCATGGTGTATAACCAAGGACCCTAGAGCAGCTACAGGAACCATTCCCCGATATGAAGTGGATAGGGCCGGTGAGTTCAAAGCAAATTCTCCATGACGACAACTAGCACATCTAGAAATCTGTGAGGTGAACGCATTTACATTTCAGGACAATGCAACAGTGGAGCATGCATGTATAGACAGATCCATTGAAAGAGGCCGTGTCACGGTGCATGCCTACGATCGACAATGCCGACAAGTCGTGCTGGCCTTGGCCACGGTGTGTAGGATAACACTAGCAATGTTGTGCATACTGTAACCAGCTGCTCTCAACGATTAGCACCACTAGTTTTCAGTATTTAGTTAGCAGATGCATCTTCAACATACACCACAGGATCAGTCGAGGGTACCTGGTTGATGTTTGGTCGGCTTGCGTCACCTTGGTGAGCGTCTGAAGCGTGATCATCACCGCGTGCTCGCTCTTCCATATGACCAGGCTGCTGCTGTTGAGCCTGCTGCTGCTGCTGGCCCTGCTGTAGCTGCTGTGGTTGGTCTTTGGCGGCGGAAGCGTCGCCGGAGTCCTCTGCCCCCGGTTCGCAACACACGCGGTGGTGCTTGACCTTCCAGTCGCGGCGCTGGCACCAGACACCGCAGTAGCGCGCCTTCTTGCATCGGCTACACGTCTCTGTTGCCTCGCGACCACAGTTCCAGCATTGCTACCAGGCACACACAGACAGAGAGACAGACACACACACACACACACACACACACACACACACACAAGGTAAGGTGGTGTCACTGCAAAAGGGCTTGATGCATACGAAGTGCAGAATCATTTCACACATGCACTTGGAGCAAAAAGAACCAAGTTACAAACCAAATTTCCTGTTAGCACTCCAAGTTTCACGCTAATGTGATCATCACACTTTTAGTCAGCGTGAAACTCAGTTTCCCAACGAGTCACTTTATTTCCAAGATTAATATAATATAAAACGGGTTCTGTTCATGACACCAACAAATTAGAAACAGCTACAGAGAGAGAGAGAGAGAGAGAGAGAGAGAGAGAGAGAGAGAGAGAGAGAGAAGAGAGAGAGAGAGAGAGAGAGAGAGAGAGAGAGAGAGAGAGAGAGAGGATCGCATGGCCTAGTCTTACAGAAAGGCTTCAGCACCGAACTCATGCACATGCTGAATCTGTTGATCTGTTGACATCTTGAAGATACTACAGTAACCAGGATGCTGAACAAGATCACCGAAAAATTCCTGACTGCGGCAGTACTGCAGGTATTTAGGAAAGCAGCAGCCGGGGTTTGCACGGTGCCTGGCCAACTGCTGACCAGGCACAAGTTCTAGGACTTATGCCTGGCTTCAAACCAACTGATGCCTCTCCAAACTAACTGGCAGCTTATATTTTGTGGCGATCCTGGCTAATTTCCACTGTATGCTCTTTAAAACTGTAGAAGCAAAAGGATACAGCTCCTACCTCCTCTTCCTCCTGTGTAGCAGAGGGCACTGTTTCACCACTACTGCCACCTCCGCCAGTCTGCTGTGACTGAGGCTGTTGCGGCGCGCCTTGCACTGCCGGAGGATGGGCCGCGCTGGGACCGCCGTTGCGCGCTGTGCCCTGCGGCTCGGCTGGTGCCGCGGCCGCTGCGCTCTGCGGCGGGGCCGCGATGACGGCAACCGGTGGCTGCTGTGCGGGCGCCTGCTGGGGCTGTACATGGTGACCATTGCCGTTACCATTGCCGTTACCATTGCCAGCGCCACCCTGCTGCATCTCAAGACTCTGCTGGTACAGACGACGCTGATGAGCAAGGTCACCGGTCTGTAACGTAAACACGAGTGCAAGTATACATGCACATGCAAACACAGTGACATCATGTACCAAGTACCATGTTACACAGTGACATCATGTACCAAGTACCATGTTACACAGTGACATCATGTACCAAGTACCATGTGCAACCTTCGCAAGAACAAGAGAAGCACGCAAATCTACAGATGTACTAGATGCACAACCGGCACAGGTTTCTTATAGCAATGGTATATAGCAATGGTATATAGCAATGGTAGCGGAAATGATCTGAATGGAATAGATCAAGGCTAGCGCCAGATAATACATACAAACACGCGCGCGCACACACACATACACACACACACACACACCACGCCCGGTATTTTACGACTCGCTGGTCTAGGATGTGCAGCAAAGGGCCACTGCCGAAGCAAATCTTGTTGTTTGATGCCGGGAAAGACACGCGGAGAAGGCGTCCTTTCTCCAAGCCATCTTGGTCATTTTTCTCAATCCGCTGGTGCGTGTCGACCAAGATATGTCCGTGAGGTACTGGTGAACTGGAGTCCTGGCATCTACAAGAAATTGTCGCGCCTAGCTAACCAATGTTGTCAGTAGAACTCAGCGTTTCCTGATCGCGACTCGGCACACTCTTTTCTGTTGGACCTCGCAGCTTTCACCCTGCGAGTGTGGAGTTTCCTGGCCTCAAATGAATATCTTAGTCATGACCATGATGACAAGTGACTGGTATGATCCTTGACAGGCCCGAGTCCTTAGCTTGAGTCAAGACGAAGGTAAACTCTTCACTTGGAACGCTTGCTGTCTCCTCGCCGGGTCCTTTCTTGTTACACTTGCAGATATGCGAACGGCTGCCCGTTTTGTTGGTGCGCGCGGCCGACCATGATGTCTTCAAAAAAGTACTTCAGCGGTTCTACTTGGCCGATTCTCACAGTCAATAGCTCATTTTCAAGGTCTTGGAATTCTCTATCGGTTCACCGTCCCCGATTCCTATATTTTGTCTTCATTCACTTGTTCGCACGTCTTCGAGTTGAGTGATTTCACCATCCGATCTCAGGCAAACGAAGGCCAAATCGAAAAATTCGAGACGGTACCCCTCCAAAGACACCTTCTGAACACGAATCCACAATGGCCTTATGTCTAAAACCAACGAATACAGTTAGGCTCAGAAAACACCCGACAATTGCAAGAAACAATCCGTTTTGCCGTGCGCTGATTGGTCAAATCCAAATGACCGATTGACGCTTTATACGGGCGTGGTGAGCCCTGACAGTGTTGGTCGACTCGCGATTTTGGCTCGCACCCCCCCCCCCCTCCCCATACGAATCATGTTCGTTTCAGGGACGACAAAAACTTTTGCGACGACTCCTTAAGGAAGCAAATGAAGGTGCCAAGAAGTACGAGGGGACTCAAGCAAGCAATATTTGCTGGCATACCTCATCCTGAGTACTCAGTGCGACGGTGCTGCGATGAACACCGCGTCCGTTCGCATGTTCGGCCTCCTCGCGTAGCCTCTGCACTATCGCTAGCCACTGGTTTCGATCCTGCTGTTCAGTCTCGCGCAGCATGCAGGCAGCCTGGTAGATCTTCTCTACCATCGAATGTATGACAGTCACCATCTGTAGCATCACACATGACAGACAATGCAACTAAGAGACAAAGTGGACACACAGTACTTTACCAACCCATATATTATACCAGAATGCCATGAAACTTCAAAGGATTTGAGCTGGAATGAATGTAATTGGGGAAATACGGTTTTAACTAATTGGTGCTGGAATGAATGTAATTGGGGAAATACGGTTTTAACTAATTGGTGACTGTCTGAGGCAGGTCTCCAGGTACACACACGCACACATACTTTGAAGTACATTCTCTGTAGGTTGTGCACGCCTGTCGTGTGTACGAAGCATGCGTCAACATGAAATCGTTGCACCTCCAGCAATGATCATAGCATGTTTTCTTATTTGCCAAGTTTCCGCGAGGATGTTGCAAGACTTCAAAGCTCTCATGGTGAACGAACTACCGTACGGGAGGCGGAACGATTTCAGAGGAAGTCGCATCATCAATGAGATGTTGCGAACTATCCACTCCTTGAAGAAGCGTTGTGAGTGGCTGAGATGGAAGGCGCCAGTGGCATCACCAAGTCGAGTATTCTACAGCCGTTGCCCACATAATCTGGTTGACGCTTTCGCCGGGACATGCATGGACGTGAGTGCTACGTGATCGAGCCGGTACGCTCGCACACAGTTGCCATGAAGAAAGTGGAGGTGGTACGGTACGCGGCGCCACACGACAGTGGCATCGTGACCTGGCAGTGGGTGACCGATTATTCGGCCATATTTGGCAAACGTATCATATTATTACAGGGTGCGACTAAAGAGCGCAGTGTAATGGTGGAGGTGACTCAACATATTTGGCCAAGCCTGAGTTTATTGCATTGCAGAGTAGGTGCAGGGCGTTACTTACGCTTCTTGCGAGAAGCTCAGTGCCGTAGTGTCAGCTGCTGTCATGGGAGGCAACCATGAGCACACAAGGCCTCGGACCGGGAGCATTGATCAAGGATCTTCAGCATCGATTTGGCTGCCCCACAGAGAAAGTTCCTCTTGAATGAAAAATCATAGGCATGTGGTGCGGTCTCTTCTCCACCGGGACGACGATTTCACTCACATCGTATTCGTCACCAAGGTATGTGTTGTGTTGGGGCCCCGATGGCTGGCTTGAATTCTGGCACGCGAGGGATGATGTACCAGTGTTCGAGAATCGCCGGTTTCCTCCTAAAGTGTGATGCAGAGATAACACCACTACTGGTAGGGATTTCAGACCACATCACCTCATGGCCCAAAAGCGTGCAAATGGACGCCCGCACAAATCGTGTGATGGTCATGTTACATGCAACCCAGGCACTACACAAGACCAAGACAAACTTGTCAGATAGGGAAAAACTCAAGACTTGTATATCACTCGTTCAGAGCAAGACAAGACAACAAAACAACAGGCATGCGCATATGCATGCAGGAAACGTAAGTAATAAGATAACAACTTATGACGCGTTTGTACAACGCTTGCTCAGATATCACATCCCTCCACCATCAGATGGAAACGACCAGAATAACAGAAATACATAGACTGTGTCGTGGCAGCAAATAATCTGATAAGACGAACTACAGATCAAGGCGGACAGGAGCCTTTACAGAACGAGAAGAACTGCGCATAGACACAACAGGACTAGAACCACTAGACTGGTTAGGAGTAGATTCAGGAACAGATAAATCAGCATTCTCACGGATCTCATCATGTACAATTGAGCCAGGCAGTGACATAGACTCATTCGGCGGAACACTAGGTAGAGCAGTTGAAGACGGTAGAGCTGTGGTAGAAGGTAAAGCTCTGGAATATGGAAGCTGTGGTGCTGACGTAGCAGTTGAAGCATCTTGCACCGACTCAGCAGGAAGGCGTTTCTTCAGGTGGTCAGAGTGACGCTTCCAGACTCTGTTATCAACAAGACGAACCGTGAATGTTAGAGGACCAAGCTGTTCTTCCACGGTGCCAGCTATCCACTTCGGTGAGGAGTTGAAATTCATTGCCCAGACGGCATCACCACAATAGAACTGGTATGCATTTGCACCACCACGATCATGGGCAGTGCACTGTTTGTCCAAGACTTTCTTGCCGCTGTCCGGGAACACGAGATCCAGACGTGAGCGGGGACGATGTTCCTTCCAAAGTAGCTCAAACGGAGAACGACCTGTTGTTGACTGCGGCGTCATTCTGTATTGGAACAGGAACCTGGCAAGGCGGGTTTCCAAATCAGGGCCAGACATCTTGGCCAAGCCAGACTTCACCGTCTGTACTGCGCGCTCGGCTAAGCCATTACTAGACGGATGATATGGTGAAACGAGAGTGTGACGTATGCCATTAGATGAGCAAAACTCACGAAATTCACTACTTGCAAAAGCAGGGCCATTGTCAGAAACAATATTATAAGGTAAGCCAAGCAGAGCAAAGGTCTGCTCCAGCTTGCGAATTGCGACAGCAGCAGATGAGCCAGAGCAAACATGTGCTTCAATAAATTTACTATGACTATCGACAATAATGAAGAGCATCTTACCAGCGATGGGTCCAGCAAAGTCGACATGGACACGTAACCAAGGCTTACCAGGCCATTCCCATGGGTGGACTTGCTGGCGATGCGGCGACTTGGTGACGGTCTGTTCGATTTCTGCATCGAGAGACGGCCACCAGACATAGCTGCGTGCCAGGGCTTTCATTCTAGCGATACCGGGATGACCGGCGTGCAACTCGTCCAGCAATGGTGCACGACCCGGTGAAGGAATAACTACCCTGGAACCAAATAGGATACAGTTATTCAAGACAGACAGCTCACTACGACGACGGGAATATGGCTCTAATCCCTCTGGAATGTCTTGGGGCCAGCCCTCAGACACGAACTTGTATACTAATGCCAGGGACGGATCTTTGCTCGTCCAGCGAGCAACCGATGCAGACGTAACCGGTGTAGTGTTCAAGACGGATAGCGATAGTACAGCCTCGGCTGGCTGCGGCGGTTCCGGTACCAGCGCCGGATTGGGGAGGCGACTCAACCCATCAGCGCAACCGTTCTGTTTCCCAGGCTTGTACTCCAGAACAAATTCATAATTGGCTAGTTTGAGTGCCCATCGCTGAATACGACCACTAGACTGAACAGGAATGGGTCTAGCAGGATCAAACAATCCCAGCAGTGGCTTATGATCTGTTTGTAGTGTAAAGTTGCGACCGAAGATGTACTTGTGGAACTTGGAGACGCCAAATACCATTGCCAAGGCCTCACGGTCAAGCTGCGAGTAATTCTTCTCACAAGACGACAGCGTTCTAGATGCAAAGGCTACTGGCCGATCAGACCCATCTGGCAGAACATGCGACAGAACTGCGCCAACACCATACGGGGAAGCGTCACAGGACACGACAATAGGTAAACTAGGATCATAATGAATACGTATCGGCTCAGAAAGCAGCAGAGACTTGCCTGTATCAAACGCTTTCTGGTGACTATCAGACCAACACCACGACTTTGATGATAACAATTCATACAATGGAACTAACACTGAGCTTAGATTCTCGATGAACTTGTGGTAATAGTTTATGAGTCCCAGAAAGCTTCTCAGTTCAGGGACATTCTTGGGCTGTGGGGCCTTCACAAGGTCATCCACTTTCTCAGCCGACGGCCTAATGCCGACTGAATCAATAACATGGCCCAGGAACTCAATAGACTGCTGAGCCACGAGACACTTCTCACGATTCAACCTGAGACCCGCGGACGCTAGACGATCCAGGACCAGCCTCAGATTCTCATCATGCTCCGCACGAGTCTTTCCAGAAACAACAATGTCGTCGAGATACACTACGACAAAGGACAGACCTGCTAACAATTGTTCCATCGTGCGCTGAAATATTGCCGGGGCCGCCGACACGCCAAAGGGTAGGCGGTTGTAGACGAACAATCCTTTGGAGGTGTTGATTGTCGTCAGCAGCTTAGACTCGTCGTCGAGCAACAGTTGTTGATAAGCATGTTTCAGGTCAAGCTTGGAGAAGAATGCGCCTTGCGATAACTTCTGATACAAGTCGTCGATGTTGGGCAAGGGGTACTTGTCTACTCTTGCCGACTGGTTGATAGTACATTTATAATCGCCACAAATTCGTATGCTACCGTTCCGCTTGAGAACGGGTACGATTGGAGCTGCCCACTCCGAATACTGGACAGGACTAATGATGCCAGCTTCCTCCAGTCGACTCAGCTCTTTTTCCACTGCTGCTTGTAACGCATAAGGAACAGAGCGTGCCTTCAGGAACCGGGGTCTGGCGCTGTCTGCCACGGACAATTTGACTTTTCCATGTTTCCAGGTGCCCATGCTACGTTGGAAGAGCTGCGGGAACTCTGACAATATCGAGTGCTCGCGTGACACGTTGAACACGAAGTTCCAATTCAACCTCAGCAGTTGCAACGCGTCTCGACCCAGGAGATTTGGTCCGTTTCCTTGGACAACGACGATCGACAATTCTGCTGATTTACGAGAAGCATGGGTCGCAGAAGCACTAAAGCGACCGACGACATTCAGAATTCCGCCGGAGTAAGTACGCAGCTTCGGCAGATCACTTGTGTCGAGCGACAAATTGACCTTGGATGCCAGCCGATGAAATTCGTTTTCAGACATCACCGTCACGGCTGCACCCGTGTCGATTTCAAACACGACTGGCTGTTTACATAACTGGAGGGTACAACAGTACGGGTCCACGCGGTCCTTGTCACTCTGCGTGCGGTACAACGAATAGTACTCGTCCAGGCCGCTGCTGTACGGACTTGCAGTTGTAGGACCGGATGCAACACTCGCACCAGTACCAGCACTTGCACGATGACTTGGAGCAGGAGCAGGGTTGACTGGCGACGTTCCATGTACTTCTTGAGACTGGCCAACCATGTGTACACTGCCACCAGTGCTGGACTGCTGTGAACGGCAAACTTTGGCGAAGTGGTTTGGCTTCCTACACTTCCGGCACGACTTGCCCAAAGCTGGGCATGACTCGCGCTTCTCGTGCCACTGGTCTCCACATCCACCGCATTTACGTGACTGGCCACGCGATGGCTCCACAAATCCACCCCGTCCAGCTTGCCTGTGACTCTGGTCTCGGTGGTGCACGGCATTGACAAGCATACTACTACTCCCGGTATAACCGGTACCAGACGAAGTAGAAGTGGTTGAGGACATTCCTTCCGACTGGGACTGGGCGTCCTCCCAAATTCTGCACATTTCCAACGCTCGTGGCAGAGTCAGGGCTGGTTCTGACAGGAGCTTCTTCTTCAGCTCACTGCTGTCGACTGTGGCTACGATCTGGTCACGTATAGCTTCCGCAGTTTGTCCTTCATTCTCGAAAGAACAAAGCCGAGCTTGCTGCCGAAGCTTGGTGCAGTACTGCACTGTGGACTCTCCCTGCCGGCGAGTGAGTTGACGGAAGACGTGCCTCTCATACGTAGGGTTTGCAGGAGCACCGAAATGAGCTTGCAAGGTACGCTTGCACTTGAGGAACTCATTGTCATTCTGTGTTCTCTGATCTGGTGGAAGGCTGTCATCTGGGTCGGATAGGTCCTCGAATAAATCCTGAACTTCTAGACCCGCGAAGTGCAAGAGCAGTGCTTTTGAACGCTTCTTGTTCGTAATGTCCTTTCCCGTCAAATAATAGTCAAAGGCTCGAACCCATTTTGTCCACCTCAGAGCCACTTGAGATGGGGGTCCGGACGTGTCGAATGGTGGAAGACGGTCACGATCTCCCTCCATCGCGCAGGACGTTGTCTTCGTCGCCAAATTGTTACATGCAACCCAGGCACTACACAAGACCAAGACAAACTTGTCAGATAGGGAAAAACTCAAGACTTGTATATCACTCGTTCAGAGCAAGACAAGACAACAAAACAACAGGCATGCGCATATGCATGCAGGAAACGTAAGTAATAAGATAACAACTTATGACGCGTTTGTACAACGCTTGCTCAGATATCACAGGTCATAATGTCAAGTCGAGTAAAGAGGTGTGGAACTGTTTTTCGAAATGAAGGAAGTCTTGCACAGTTGGAGAAAGTTTCGGTTCGTCTTGTTGGAGCTTGCCTTTGTTTGGGACCAGCAAGAATGGAGCTGTTACGTTCATTTTTGATGGAGATACGTATGCGGATGGAAGGGAAAGGTGAGAAACTATATGATCTGTCCGGGTCCCCTTCTTGAAAATGTGATATTCGTATTCTACGACCTCGAATTAGTCTAGATAGAAGGTAATCTTTATTGTTTTCACCTTCCAGAAGACCTATTTCTTGCATTCCTCTTTGTACTTTGGCGTGCAGCGCCGCCATAGTCACAGTATGGAAAGCAGCAAGAAGTATCCTGCGCTAAACGATACTGATGTACAAATTGAATTGCTCTTGGCTGTTTCGGTCCATGCCCCGATTCTTGTCTCCAATGCTGTTATGCTCGATCTGGTTGACCTCCGCAAGAATAGCTGAAAGAGTACCGAACTGGGAGATTTGCTGTATATTCTTGTTGCATTTTGCTGTATCTCTGCTGAAGTGCGTGCTACAATTACCCCGGCCAATACAATGGCATGTACATGTATATGTTGAGCTTAGTCAGTGCCTCTTCCCTGGTCATTCTATTTCTTGACACCAACAGTTCAAAGCTATCTCAGGACTGTATTATCAATGTCTCCTGTTACTAACTACATTGTAAACCATGCTACTCAGCTGTTTCATGCGGAGAATCAAGATTGTTTTTGGATCTGGTGTGTGGTTGCTATGCGTTGCTAAGGAAAGTGGGTTCTCTCAGTTTGACATTCCTTTCTGATCTCAAATGTGTGGGGTGTTTGTCGGAAAAATCCGGTGACATGCGATGACTATTTCGTTTGTAACTTTGGTTTCCTTTGTCCGATTTAGAAGAAAAAAAGACCACCAAACTCCTCAGGAAGCTCTAACCTATCCAAAAAGCAAAACATAAGCCACAGAAAACTGATTTGAAAAAAAAAGGTCTGAAGTCCCTACTACTGGCGTTGATGCAGCGGCCAATACAATCAGCCGAGGCACGCGATTGTCCCCTCATCTCACTTGTTGAGAATGCAACGCGAGCCAACCAGGATCGGTGAAGCTCCTCGAACAAGTCACAGAAGCAATGTTCTGTCTAGTAACCTGTCTTGCTCAGCACCGCGACTATGGTCGACCTTACGGCATGGGAGGAAGCTTGGCCTGACTTTGCAGTGTGCCACCACCTCGCTAGCCAATGTCAAGAGGCTCATGTGTCAGCACCGCGCCAGGATTTCGATGCTGACATCCGGCGCTTCATGCGCGAAGGCGTGATTGAGGTACCCCGGAATGCGGACGCCCCAGAGATTATCACAGCCTCGGAGGCTTATCCGGGTTTTCGCCAACCGGTGGAACGCTGACACTGGGTGGAACGCTATGGCCAAGGAGGTTGTGCCAGCAGCATTTACTCTTTTCGGCAACGATTTCCGCGTCCAAATGGACAATGCCACTTCACACATGGCCCTCCAGAGCTACAAGTATCTCGTCGTCAATTGCATGCTGCAGGTGCATTTTAGCCATCTTGTTCACCCGACCTGAATCCAATAGAAATGCCAGTCTGGTGGCAACTCGAGCCAAATTTAGCCAGACTCGCTGAGATAGATTTCTGAACCCTGGTTTCCACCACCACTGTCACCTTGTGCCTAGATACTCACCCATACATGTACTTGCCTTCTTTGATGCAGAGCTCGACTTGCTTCGACACTGAAGTAAGGTGACCCTACAACACGCGATCCGGCTTCATTCAACGTTGGTGAGCGAAGGCATGCAACGGGGCACGATTGTTGAACCGCACTTCGAGTCATGTCGACGGCTAGGGTTTTGATATCATCAACGCATTCATCTTCCGCTGAACGACGCCAGCATACACATCATATGACCACCGTGCCTCAGTGTCGGAAGCAGGTCCAGCTCGGCACCGAGGAGCTGCACTTCCTTGCATGGCTCGGACAACCACTGTTCAAGTGCATAGCATAATAGAGCTAGGACTAGATTTCTCAAAGTGCGAAGATTCCACTGTAGCCAACCACTATACCCATACATCTTCACAACACTCTCCTAACGGTCTCTGGGCTACACCAATCAGTAAAAGGAAAAAAAGAAAAATCGAAAATTCGAATTTTAGGGTTCACGGATTGGCATGCTAGCGTCGCCAGCTACATCATGCACGTGACAGGCGTGTGCATATACTGTCCCACACAATCGGTCAGTGCTCAAATCGCATTTTCCCATCAATATCACTCACTTTAAACTCTACGGGATTCATTACGGTTGGCTCAAACTGCCTGAATTTTTGAATCCACACGCACGAAAGACGTTCCAAGACTTTCACCGTTCGTATTTTTTCAAACGTGTTCCGGGTTTTTCAGTAACTTTGGCCAAAGTTCGGCTAAAAAAACAGGGGGAGCCGTTGCGTTTCCGTAAAATATTGAACGGTGGAAGGATAGCCAAGGTCGAGAGCAAAACAACAAGCCATTATTTGTCAAAATCGAACAAAAAACGGCTCAGTGCATCTATTTTCCGTGCACGCGCGCGCGTACTTTGGCCGACAAGGTGTGCAGAATTTCTGAAGAAGAAGAATAACAAGAGCAGCAGCGCTCGGAGCAGCCGTGCTGGATACATGTACTTCCAATCCTGACATGATGGAGCGTGTTGGCTGTCGTGAGCTGCTGAAACGACCCTGACATTTCTTTTGCTTTGTATACCCTACATATCTTGACGTGCCCTTGCTCAGTTTCGGCCTCTTTACAGGAAGAATATTTTCTTCCTTGGTATCAGCGGCCAAACAGCAAGAAGAGCAACAGATCGAGATTTGCAGGGCAAACAAAGGATGCGTGCAGCTACATCTAGTCAGGTTCGATGCAGCTGCGCTTTGCCAGAACCACAACAAATAAGAAAAGACGACAGAGTGTCTCAGATGGAACTGGATCTTTTGCCAAGACCGCCACCGCCGCCATCATCAAGTGTAGGTCAGTCAGAAAAACCGAAGCAAAAATGCAAAGCCCGAGTGAAGTGAAGCCACTGTACTGAATTATGAAGCCAAGGAAAAATTCAAAAAGTACGCTCTCCGGCTAGACTTCGAGTCGATATTTTTTTACTTCGATAGGCGCTGTCGCGGCCTGTAGCGCGCGTCCATAATCCAAAATGAAGGCGCACGTGACGGGTGCTTTTAGCGGCAAGCCGTGAACCCTAAATTTACGGGCGAAGATCCGAAGGATTATCTCTTTTTTTCTTTTAGTGATTGTTACTGTAGCCCAGAGATCGTTTGGAGAGTGTTGTGAAGATGTATGTGCAGAGCTAGAACTAGGGTTTCAAAAGTGTCCACATCCCAAGCCATTCTATCTAGATGCGGCAAAGACACGTTAGTCCCTATAAAGGTGTTAACAAAATACAGAATAGAGAAACTGACCGACACTAATCCATGCCATTCATCAGTGCGATCACGGGGTACGGGTAAATCTCCGTGTCCGTTAGTACTAGGAGCTGGTTCATTAGTGGCAGCAGCTGTCATGCCGGAAACTCTTCCCTGCCCAGTTGGAACAGCTCCATGGCCATTGGTAGCTGCAATGTTCAACACATAAACAGACAGTGAACAACGCCGGTGAGTAACGTCTTCCCCTCAAACCCAGTGAACACTACTACCGTTACCTGCTACAGTGTGTGTAGCTACGTGTTAGTCAGGAGTGATAAGTGTGCCACACAACCTTAAGTTGAGGCAACTACGAATACTAATACAGATGGTTTTTTGTATGGCATAACCAAGTCGAGGAAACAGCGCCACGTAACTACCAGGCAGTATTACTTCGAAGTAAGTTTCTTTACAAGCGACTTCTGGATATTACTCTCTTGCCCTCCACCTTCCAGTTTTGATCCTTGTCCTTGTCGATGTTCCAATTTACTTTCAACAACTCTACCAGTCTCACTGTATCCTTCTATCTAGCCCTGTAAATGCGGCATTATGCCTATCCGCCAGTCCCAGTTTCTTTGCACAGTACAACAGTACTCATCAAGGCGCACCCTTCACCCCATCGTTGTTCTAGTTCTGTAGTCATGCAGTCGCCGCGGATCATCATTTCAGAGGCCCGGCGGAACCGGTGCGGCTCGTCAGGCGAAAGCCGGACCAACCTTTCGGCCACCAACGTGTGTTTACAGTGCTGAGGTCGTGTGTACCCGCCATATCATACACAAAGTGTGAAAGGCAAGGGGATGACCGGACCAATAAAATAAAACTCCTTCTGCCGGTCCCGTTTCACGTAGACTGAGCTATGCACAGACCCGTGATCCACTGGATGAGAAAGGCATCGCCTCAATTGCCCAGACGAGGTGCAATACCAGCAAACGCGCCTAACAGCCACCATCGCACACGGGCTGTAGATGCAACAGCTCCGCCTAACGGAGTGGCTGGGGGTTGGGAGAGGTCATCTAGCTGACGGAGGCACATCAGCTCGAAGGCAAAGAGACAGTTCCGATCGCTGCATTTGCCTGCTCGCTCTACTCAGAGAATTGCTTGGAACTAGAGGACACAGGTAAATAATGACATGTGCGAGGCCGGTCTCAACCTAAAGCTGTATTCACAACTGGCGTGTGTACGCGTGAAACCACGCGTTTGTGCGTATTTTTCCTGGCTTTTTGGGGCGCCATGCGTACGGAAACGCGGCGAAATGGAAATTCCAACATGTTGGAATTTTCAGAGCGTATCAGGCGCGCACCAGCGTACATGCCAGTCACTTTGACTGGCGGGTCAAAAAATTAGTACTCGAAGGTGTCGCACGCGCTAAATACGACTCGGATTGCTGTTTTTTGTGAAAGCCTGAGCGCGCGTTTGGGCACGCATGAACCGCAAGCGTACCGCGTCCGCGCGCCAGTTGGGAACACAGCTTTAGGCGCATGCAGGACCATATAGATGGCCAAGGATGACCCTCCGAGTCGTGCACGCATCTGCAACACGGTACTGCCACTACTGGTCAAAATTAACGACGGCCAGCAAACTATTAGTTTTCAATACCCAATGATTAGTTTGGCTGAGCCTAGTACCTTACGGTAACGTTAATCTCTTACCCTGAGAAGGAAACCGTCTCTTGGCGTTTGGCTCCATAGTCATTGATGTACCACACAAGCCTGCGGCGGGAGAACAAGAACAAGAAACACGTATACATGGGCGGTGTCGTAAGCACAACAACGTTTTAAGTTGTGTGCCTAAATTGTATTGTAAGGTGTTAGGGCAGGATCAGTAGGTTCTGTTCAGAAGTTTTCAAGAGTGCCAGTATTATCACTTGACTTATAGGGCCGTTTTAGTGAGGACCTGTCAGTTTTTTCTTGGATCCTATATATAGGATTTGAGTATTCTGCATTATCCAGAGTGTTGTAATGGATGCAGATGATGATAGAACTGGCAGGGAGAGTAATATAGAATGCCTAGTAGTAGTATGCTGAATAAGTACACAGATACCATGAATATATGTCTGCGATTGATTGGGGAGCACTGCCACAGGTTGGCATATTTAGTGCTTTTAACCGTACTACCGCGGAAGCTTCACCCCGAAAATTGGCCGATCGGCTTGAAGGTTGGATTATTCCTACGGACGTATATGGAAAACAGTTCCAAACACCTCATGAAACCATTTCATCAATTTTCATAGGTTTTCATAGGTTGTTTATCAAAATCCTTTAGCCAGAAAGCAAATCCTATTATAGGATTTGCTGGTGACAGTTTAAGAGATAGCGCTCGGCCTGTTGGCACCTCCCATCTCTAGCGTCAGCATCCATCCCGAGGCCGAAGGGTTAGCGTCTCTGCCGGCGATGCGTGTCCCGGTGACCATCAATTTGGACCCTAGCCAGCCCGTGGTCCAGCAATCAGCACGGCGTGGGGCTCCGGCTTTGCTGCCGTCATTGTGAGAGCAACTCCAAGCTTGGACAGAGCAGGGCCTGGTCGAGCCCGTTGGAGAGGTCCAGGCGATTGACTTTGCTTCTCCGCTCGTCCCTGTCCTGAAGCCAGACAAGACGGTTCGGTGGTGCGTCGACTTGCGACAAGTCAACTCAGCCGTGCGTCGGCCCGGCATACAGCTGCCCACTACCGACGACTTACTGGCGCAGGTGTCAACGGTATTCTCCAAGCTTGACTTGAAGTCGGGTTACTCCCAGCTGGAGCTGGTGCCCGACTTCCGCCATGCATTTGTAATCGCCTCGCCGCTGGGCTACCACCGATTTTGTCGACTGCCGTTTGGAGTGTCCAGCGGCCCGGAACTATTCCAGTCAAAGATGGAGCAGATCCTGGGCTCGACGGCGTGCTCATATACCTGGATGACATCCTGGTCTTTGCCCCATCCCAAGCGGTGCATGACAGGCGGGTGGCAGCAGTGAAGGCGGCACTGAAGGCGATCAACGCCACATTCACCGACAAAAAGTGTGAGTTCAGCGTTTCCGAGCTGACCTTCCTGGGCCATTTTGTCTCGTCAGCGGGAGTCCGGCCAGGCAATGACAAGGTCCGGGCACTCCACGAGATGGCTGATCCGGAGCCTGCGGAATATCTCCCAGCTGCGCTCTGACCTTGGCCTCACCACCTACCTTGCCAAGTTCATGCCCAACCAGGCTGACGTACTGGCCTCTCTCACTGCTCTCCTCCCCGGCGAGTGAACGTGGACTCCCGAATGCATGCAGGCAGCAGCGGCAGTACGACAGCACCTCTCAACGTCACCCGTGCTAGCACTCTTCGACCCGAAGCTACCTACTCGAGTACAGGTCGACGCCTCTGGGGTGGGTCTGGGGGCTGTCCTGATGCAGAAGCACGGAGGCGACGAGTGGCGTCCCGTGTACTATGCCAGTCGGAAACTCGCAAGCCCAGAAACTCGGTACGCGACCATCGAGCGAGAGGCGTTGGCGATAGTGTGGGGCCTGCAGCGGTTCCGCAACTTCATCACCGGCCTCCCGGTGACAGTGCTGTCCGCTCACAAGCCGCTTCTACAAGTGTTCGACTGCACGTACAACCTTTCAGCAGCTAGCGTTCGGGTGCAGCGACTCATCCTACAAGATCTTGACTACCAGGTCTAGTTCCGCCCGGGCAAGTTCAACGTGCTAGCCGACGCATTGTCCCGCTTTAAGGTGGTCCAGGCAATCTCCTGCCCCGACAGCCTCCTCACCGATCAACGGCGCCAGATCGCAGCCAAGACATCCCAGGACGAGACACTCTGCGCCGTACGACAAGCTCTCATGTCAGACAACCGGCTCTCCACCCCCACCGTGGCTCAATACCGTGGACTCCGGCATGAGTTGAGTGTTTGGCCTTATCCAAAGACCAACGACCTCGTCATCTTGCGGGGGGGGGGGGGGGGGCTTGTGATCCCCGAGTGCTGCATGCCGGAAGTACTTGAGCTAGCTCATGTCGGGCATCCAGGACTGGCCAGAACGAAGGCCCGCTTGCAGGAGGCGGTATGGTGGCCAGGCTGGGGCCGTGCAACGAAGCGCTTCATCGAGCGCTGTGAGCCAGGAGAGGCCAGGGCATCAAAGGTACCGCTGAAGCCACGCGAGCTACCTCCTTGACCCTGGCACTCAATCGCCGTAGACATCTTCTACTACAGTGGCAAGGCATTCCTGAGTGTCATGGACCTGTACTCGTGGTATCCAGTGGTTGTGGAGCTGCACGGCGAACGGCTCCATCAGACCTTGAAGCGTAACCTCCGAAAGTCGAAACAGCCGACCGTGAAGAAGGCCATGCATGAGTCACTGGCGACCCTCCGCTCCACTGTCAACGCGACCACCGGCCACCCTCCCGGCGATCTCTTCCTCTGGGGTGGTTTTAACACACCGCTGAGGGCACTGCGTGCTCCTACCGAGGACCCTGACCTTGACAACGAGGATGACGAGTTGGACGAGACTGTCCGCATCCGCGAGGCAGTGGTGGAGGCGGGAGTGAAGGAAGCCTATGATGCACGCCATCATGCCACAGAACGTCTGGCGCAAGGTGGAGACACCGTGTCCGTACAGCAACCATCGGGAGCAACCGTTTGCGACACCGTCGTGTCAGCCACACCGCATGATGTGACGGTCGAGACGGAGGAAGGCAGCATCCAGCGACGCCACCTGGATCGTGTGAGACCTGGAGCACCCCGGCAGCTGCCGGACAAGCCTGCTGACAGCGATGCGACCACCGCGCCCACACCTGACGCTGGCGCTGGCGTCCGACGCTCTGACCGGCCACACAAGGCTCGTCAGATTCTGGACTTGCGAACTGGAGACACGCCTCGTTTTTAAAGAAGGGGAGGAATGTTGAGGCTTGACCTCAACTGAAGAGGTTTGACCTCAACTGAAGTAATGAACTTACATGTGAATGGTTTTGTGCATGCATCTGTGTAAAAGCTACGAGGGTATTACGTTACTATGCGCCTGGTTCCTATGTACTTTGCTATTTTGCCATGATGACGCTGATCATGATGTTTAGTTCCGTATCCCGCATGGTGTAGTACGCAGCCAGGTCTGGTATGTGTGCCGTCACAGCTAGTCTCATTGTTTAGTGTCAGCTCTGCATGCTTAGCTGCGCGCATGTCCGGATCATGTGGATGTGCCAAGAGACTGAGTGCGTGAAGTGAGTGAATCGAGGTTCTTCTTGTACGAGTTGTTGTGCCGTCCGGACGTGATTTTTGACACGCTGTTTTGATGATAGTGTTTGCTGATCTTTCCTTGGATAACTAATGTAATGGAATAAAGTAATGGACTGAGCTTGGAGTTGTTCCGTAGAAAGTTGTGAGCGAGCGAGCGCGACACAACAAAGACCTCATTCCTATAGTATACCCGCCACACTACTATTGCCCACGAATGGTTACGCCATTTTGTTTTATGACAGCATAGCTAGCTACGGTCTACTGCATTATTTTACTACTGTATAATTACAATTTTTTTCGTTCACGAAATCTTTCGTTAGATCACTCCACCAGCAGGTTCGTTTATATAATACGCACTAAATTTCGTTTTTGGTCGAGGTCTGTCACCCCGAACGTTCAGAAGGGGTCACTTGTCTTTAGTTTTTTTTTTTAATTTCGGCCAGTCGGCTACATCATTTCGTCTTTGGGATTAGACAAGGGGAAGTAGCCATGTAGGGGCATTAGCTCGCCTTTCGGCACCGGGAGTTGCAGCTCGCTCGACTTGACTCTACTGAGTGCAGAGGACCCACACCTTGATCTGGTGAGCTGCGTCGTGGGGATTTTGCAGTCTTTAGTTTGATACAAACTTTAGTTATTTCGTGCCCCCTAACGAATAGTTAATTCCAAACGAAACTTTGTACTTATACAGTACTAAACAGAATGCACGCACGCACAGCAAAACCCGTTCAAACCGTTCACAGTTCAGATAATAACAATAGCAAATAGAGAGCAAAAGAGAGCATAAGCATCATTCATTCGTGTTTTCTATTTCTCGATGCGCTAACATAGAGCACCCAGCCGCTCAGGCTGCTGCAGAGAACAAAGCTAGAAATAGGAGAAAGGGCAAGGCACGGGTGTCTGCGAGCTCAGGAAATCTATGAAATGAACGCACATGGAAAGTTAGTTTTCAGACGCTGGCACATTGAGCTGAAAGTACACAATTTCAACATGCTCAAGGTAGAAAACACTACAACGGCCAAAGCAGACACGCTTCGCATAGTTTACCAGTGCGCCGTACTACAGCAACATCTGACCAAGAACGACAAAGAACCAATTGGAAAAAGAGCAGCGAATACGAGAACTAACCTGCGCAAACTCGAGCCCACGCTGCACCCTCACGGCTTCAGGAAAGGGGATCTTTCCCTTGTTTGTGGATACACGTACGTACCACTAAACGACTATAACAATGAGAAGGAACAGGCTCAAAAGCAAGAACCTGGTGCGAGCTAGCAGCGACGAATAGCGCGCTGGAGACGAGAAGCTGTCAATTCGTGCCACCTAGGCCGCTCTGAGAGACGTACTACTACTAGTAAACAACAGCACAACCAACTAGTAATAGATGCTGCAAGTGCAACAACGTGGGTGAAATCTTTCCTTTGCCTTTGGCTTACTCACCAAAACTACTTTACTGGAAAAACCATACTTCCATACTCAGTAGATGACTGTCAGTGCGCAAAAGGTTACGTACATGCCATCCCACGCTATTCGTACAGTCCCACACCAGTCACCACACTGTCCACATGCACAGTCTCCACACTGCACTGCTTTGTTCTGAATGACGTACAGACTACAGACTGGCGACTGTCTGGAATGAGACTGTACTACTACTACTAGTACTCAAGTACTAGTCTGTAGTACAACTACAAGTCTACTGCCTTGTGCCAGTACAGTAGTCATCATGGTCATGGTAGTGCACACACTGTGAGTCCACTGACACAGTCAAGGCTGATTACGAGGACACACTGGGCTGAGAACTGCATGCTAGCAACCATGTACATGTACAGGGAAACCTGTCTAAGACGACCGCTCAAGGGACCTTCGAAACGTGGTCTTTGTTACCAGGTGGTCTCCTTATCCAGGATAGTTTGACTGGAAAGAGCTAGCATCCCTTGCCTTGGCCTTGATTCTGGTTCCAGTCGTCTTGTAGGACAGGTGGTCGCCTTGACAACGTGGTCTCCCTATCCAGGCCTGCAGGGTCATTCGACTGGAAAGAGCATCCCTTGATTCTGGTTCCAGTGGTCTTGTAGGACAGGTGGTCGCCTTATCCTGTCCCCGGGGGAAAATTGCGATTCCGCGGCCGCGTTTTTTTCCGCGTTTTTTGCGATTTTTTAAAAGACCGCGTTTTCCGCGATTTTCCCGCGTTTTTTGAACTTTTCTGTTGCACTACACGTACACACAGTGCACTGTTCGGTCAGCCACGTCTCATCCGGTGGCGGCTTTGTACTCAAATATGACGAGCCCTTACACCAGAGCCTTGTAACTGATTGATTTCACTACATACTCACTGAAAATTGCCTCATATCAACTGCAAACTTGCCGCCGCGAGATGATATCAATAATATTCACCGCATATTTACCGCAAATTATGCCATATTATGCCGCGTTTTTGCGATTTTTCCGCAATTTTCCCCGGGGACAGCTTATCCGAGTGGTCGCCTTGACAGGTTTCACTGTAGATCTACCACCAGGTGGTAGAGTCCTGGTCTTACGACCATCTCCGTATGGCCCTACATCATGTACCATGTATGGGGTCTAGTGGCTCTGTAGCCCCGGACCCTTTGTAGGGGCCGGGGGGGGGGGGGGGGGGTGTCCGAAAATCCTCGATTTGTACTAGATATCTTCGATCTGCCACGTAGATCTACAACACAGATACAATGAACAGAAGAATGAACGAACTACATCTACATGTACATAGTTCGTCCATTCTTCTATTCATTGTATCTGTGCGTCATGTGTAATCAAGGCACTGTAATGTTCTCCCAGCCTCTATTTATTCGGTTTCTTTTCTTGTCTATAAAACACAAAAAGACAAGAATAGAAACCGAATGAATAGTGACTGGGAGAACATTACCTTGGTGTTACCTCTCTTGCATTGGTTTTCTATAACAATCCATTTGTGTTGAATTGTCCATTAGTACAACGCGTCCAACGGTGACCGATTCCTGAAGAGTGTTGCACGAAAACTTGTTCGAATCCTTATTGTTACCCTTCACTCTTCACTACTAGTACAATACATGTACTTCCTATTTTCATTGTTCACGGCCATTGCACATTGACAATCATTGTTTCCACCATTTGACACTGCATGAATAAAGTACCGTATTTCCCCGATTATAAGTCTCACTCGGTTATAAGTCGCACCTTCTTTTTCAGGTTTGAGCCAAACTGTTTTGATATATTGACTTCAGTACTAGTAAGTCATGCTCGATTGTAAGTCGCACCCCCTTTCTTACCCTTGAAAGTGCGACTTATATTCGGGGAATACGCCTACACATGTCACGCAGCCGGTCCTCTTGATTGCGATCACCAAACACTAAAATTTACACTGAATTTAGACATGGCCAGATAATGAATAGACAGTGGGACATACAGGCTGTAGCGCTGAGGGCATTTCGGGGAAAAAAGAGAATAAAAAGCGGAAAAGAGCACCAGATCTCCAATGGTTGCGAATACTGGCCCTCGATCGTGCAGGAGAAAAGTGCCGTTGTTCCCGAGTTATTCGTGAGGTTGAACGCATGCAGTCAAATGGTCACTAGGTCTGACGATAGTGTTGTTATTTGAGAGTTGTTGTTGTTGTTGTTGCTGTTGTTGTTGTCGTCATACCCGAGGTCAGTATGCAGGAGGTTGACTGTATGTACTGGAGCTCTGTGCAAAGGAACATACATGTACATGTACTGTACAGAGCAAGGGGCAGGTACATGTACAATTGTACATGCTTGATACGCAAACAGGCTGAGATTCTCCACCAGCTGCTGCCAGGTACAGGACCCTAAGTACGATACATATAGTGTACAAAACCTTGGATTGGACATAGAGGACATCAGCTAGGAAAACAAACAAACGGAAGCAAATGCTAAACAAGATTATACATGCACGGTACAAGGGAGAGCTATGTCGCACGGGCACAAGCAGGGTGTAGGTCATAGCTTTACTGAGCCACAAGTGTTGCAACACGCCCTCAGTACAGGGTTTGACAGGCTAGCCGGGCTGTGTTGGCTAACTCAACTCACTTTGCCCGGCAAAAGAAAAAAAAGAGAGTGAGATAAGCGTTGGTACCTCACTCTAGCCCCTAATGATTCGAATAAGAAATAGTTGTCAAGGCAGTACATCCCCAGTATCAGTCTGGATGTCCATGAACTGGCAATATGGCTGATCAAGAGCTCCGGGGTCTTCAAACTGCTGCAAGCAGATACATGTACGAAATCTACCGACACCACCACTATCAGTTTGGCCGGCAGCAACAGCTGTATGCTCAAGGAGGGACTTTACCCATACGGCAGACACCACCAGTGACCACCTCATGTGGCAGCAGGCAATTAAAGATGGTCAGCAGCCATGACATCATCAGTGACCAGCACTATGTCATAGCAACAATTATGTAGCAAGAATATCAGCAGGTACCTGTGGCACATCTAGCAGGAGCAGTTCTAGTAAGCAGCATGACATCATCATGACATCATAGTGGTATGCGAAACCTCATCCACATCCGTGGTGCTGTTAGTGCCTAGAGGCTTAGCCACAACAAGGCCAACTAACTTACTTCACTTCAGAGTGGCTTAATTAAACCTGTGTCACACTGCACAGGAACCCAGGCAGATGATGGCCTTCTTCATTCAGGCTGCGATTTACACTGATGATGGCATAATCCAGTGCAATGGTCTCCTTTCTCTCGGCTGGAGGACAAGTCAGCTAGCGGTCCTTAGGAGGAGCAAAGCCTGCATCTTCATCTGTCTCAATGCCAATCTCCTCCTGCCAACAAGACCAAGAAGAATGCCAACACCATCAGACAAGCTCCCACGACAATCAGACACACCATTGACCGCTTTAGGGATGTTCAAATTGTTACCATCTGACTTTGTGAGAGTTTTGCTTTTCTGAAGAGATGGCGTATTGGTCTCTTAAGGAACTTACCAACAGCTGTTTCTTGCTCTTGGGATAGCCTTCCAGGATCGAGTCCACAACTTCCATCGCCTGGCAGCACACAGCACGACATAAAGATTCAGCAAAAATATACAGCTACAAATCTTCAAACTTCCAGAGTTATGAAAAAACTTCCTGAGTGGTAGATCTGCCAGTATCAGTTAGGTTTTGTGGAGTTGAACACGGAGTGGAATGTGGAGGTGACACTCACGACCGCGTCACAGAGCTCCTGTGGCAATGCCTGCAAGCCTCGAGGCAAGAGCCGTCCGCCACAAACACTGCAAATATCAGCCTCACAACAGTTGGCTTGGGGCGCACTGGAAGAGCTAGAGAACGCCCTCGCCCATCCACCGCGAACCCCGGAACGTGTCGAACCAGACCAGTATATACAGAACTCTCTGCCTGTTCCTTCTAACTTCCGGCCAGTGTCATTGCTTTGTATAAGTTGCCTCAAAAATCGAGGAAACAATTGTCAACCATCCACACAAGCTGTCATGTTGGGCAAAGTTCCCGAGGTTGATTACTACTGCCACAGTTTCCACTAGGAACTCCCTACCGGTGAACACATCCTGCTGCATGCACCTGCCGTTAAAGGGGAAGTATACCCTAAAATCAAATTTTCACCAGTTGTAGTCTTCTGGGTGCTGAGTCGAATGGTCTTGGTCCGAGGAAGCTGCGACGCTCCCTTCCTACTTGAATCCCAATCGAACTCGCGCACTTCCACCGAAACTGGGTGACTGCGCCCTACTAGATGGGGATTTGTATGCAAAATGTCACTAAAAGCGCCATTTCGTTCTTATAAAAGCACGGATGACCACGATTGGCCCATATGTTGTTGTCTTTTGGACGCTGAGTCGACTGGTTTTGGTCCGAAAAGGCTGCGATGCAGCGTTCCTCCTTTATTCCCAATCGAACATGGTTGAACAAGCGGTCACGTGCTCCTGGGGGCCCAAATCACCTGGTCACCGCGCCAGCAGGCGACAACTTTCACACCAAGGTTCAACTCGAGTTCAACTCGAGTGACAGGACTGCACCCAAAAAAGGTCAAACAGGCTAGTAAGTTGTACCCTGCAGGCACGGTGACCAGGTGACTGGTGTACGCAGGAGCACGTGACCGCTTGTTCAACCATGTTCGATTGGGAATAAAGAAGGAACGCTGCATCGCAGCCTTTTCGGACCAAAACCAGTCGACTCAGCGTCCAAAAGACTACAACATATGGGCCAATCGCGGTCATCCGTGCTTTTATAAGAACGAAATGGGGCTTTTAGTGACATTTTGCATACAAATCCCCATCTAGTAGGGCGCAGTCACCCAGTTTCGGTGGAAGTGCGCGAGTTCGATTGGGAATAAAGGAGGAAGGGAGCGTCTCAGCTTCCTCGGACCAAGACCATTCGACTCAGCACCCCGAAGACTACAACTGGTGAAAATTTGATTTTAGGGTATATTTCCCCTTTAAGACAGCAAATGCCGTCAAGGTCAATGCCCATTTTTATCTCCTACACCGCGATTAGTTGTCAGCAATGGACAGCCTCTGAGGTAAATTAACTCATTCCGACCTTCCTAGCACATACCAATACGAAGCTCTCCGCCGTTTTGTATGTGCCTCTTTTGTTTCTCTCCTCTCTTCTCTGCCAATTAATTCTCTCTGCTTCTTCTTGTTCACTATTCTGAACTATTATTTTGGTGTGCCGTGTCTGCGGTGATGCCGGGACCTTCAAGATTGGCTCACTATCAGGGCCCCACCACTACTAGTACCTCCTTGTCACTCAAGGAGTATGGGGCATATGTTGAAGAAAGCCAGGCATGGTCACGTGTCCGAAAATCATGATTTATAATAGTACTACACGAAGGGCTCCAATTCAAAACGAGATAAATCCATTTTGGGAAAATTTCAGGAAGACATTTTTCAATTGTTCTTTTTCGGTCTGCACTGCAGCATCAATGACTTTTATCGCGTTTTAACGAATTCTTTCGTGACAAAAAACCCGCAAAAGCTCCGGTTTGGTCTTTATCGCGTTTTGAATTGGAGCCCTTCACATGTATGATGTTATACAGTGGAGATTGGATATAGCGACACTCCTTCGGGAGAAAACAAAAATGGCACTATATCCGATCTGTCACTAAACCCGATCTTCACATTCAATATGCAATATGTATATCAAAATGCAAGACAGTCATAGCATACATGTACTTCGAAGTACACGTGCCAAGTATGCATACATGTAGTTCAAGCCAGGGAGTAGTAAGTTTCACGCTATTGGCTTTGTGAATAAACCCGTTCTCAAGTAAAATACCGGTATTTTTTTACTACTCCTGGTTCTAGTCAAAGGCAACTGCACTGTTGGTCTGCAATGCTCGGTGTAGAGCACGCGCGGAGCGACCTGGAGCAGGGAGCCATACACACACATTGTACCTACATTGTAGTGTAGGGCCCAAGTGGAAGCGTATGGGAAAGTTGTTATACTCGATGCATTTTCAGGTCTTCGGGCACCAAAAGCGTGCCAGTAAATTCAATCTGTCGCTATATTTGCGGTCGCTATACCCGATCTAAAATGTACGGAAAGGGCTTGCTAAACGACTTGGGTAACAGAATTGTGTCGCTAAACTCAATTTGTCGCTATATAATTATGCAAGGTCGTTCTATCCAATCTCCACTGTACTATGGGACTAAGGCATGACTAGGTGAACCCGATGCCAAGCAAACGTGGAACTACATGTTCTATGCACAGCAGGAATCAATGGGAGCAGTCTGTGTGTGTTTGCGTGTGTTGTCGTTGTTTTTAATCTTTATTCTCACGATGGCCAATGGCCAATAAGAGTGTGTTGTTGTTGTTGGAACGTTCTCCGTTTGTTAGTGTTTGTCTTCGTTTTACATGTATTACTCAGTATGTCATAATTGGACATTGCTCGGATATTCTTACCTTGTGCGTTTCACTATTTGCAACGTGATTCCTCTGCTTCAGTTTTCGTTCTATCTCTCTGACAGGGGCAGCAACCACCCTTCTGGTGGGTGCCAGCATCCTCTGGCAGTTGCGCTGGAACTCTACAATACATTCTTGTTCTTCAATAATTAGAAATCTGCCTTTCTAGTTCTTCGCTGTTTGAATTAGGCGAGACCAAAATAAAATCGAGATTCCCGGGCAGGACCCATGTGAAATTGGTGCGGGCGGGCGAATTTTTATTTATTATTTATTTTTTCCTATGACTGTATTATGCGCATGCCATGCCGAGCTTTTTTACAGTATTTTCCTGTAATTTTTATTCAAATTTCACAAAAAAAACAGGCACGCGGTTTACCCGTTCAATTTTTCGGCCAACGATGGTCCTGATCTGTACATCAGGGAGTCGTACAAGCTCGGGTTTGTGTGACTCCACGTCACAGATCTACTCACACGATTAACCAAGAGTGTGTAACTCCTATCTTGAGCCGCGATGGGTTCACCCGCGGTGGAATTTTTTTATTGCGTCATTCTTTGGCAGAAGTATGACAAAGTGCGTATGCTTTCCCGCGCTTGTTTTGTAGATACGGTGAGAGTTCGTCAGGTTCAAGACACATCGATCTATCGTCCGTTGTTCTGCTTCGACTACCGTAGCTGTAATGTACAAATTGTACTTTGATCTCTGGCTACGCATGATGGCATCAGTGAGCCAAACCGCCGCCAAAGACTGATGTCATAAAAAAAATTCCGCTGTAGGCTGGGGGATCGTCAAGTTCAAAAAAACCAAAAAATTGGCCTTGGCTCCATTTTGGTGCGGGAGGGCCCGGGAATCACTAAATTGTTTTGGTCTCGCCTTATTATATTTATTTGTGCTGTTTCTTGCTGCACTTGTGTTTGACCTTTTTGCATGTCAGGGTGTGATGACATCATGCGTTATTTTCTGTCACGTGTTTTGCTTGCGCGTGTTGTAGGGGTCAAAGGGGTGTACCGGGTACCCGACCGGTAATCTCAGGTACCGTTAGTAAAAGGGTACCCGTTTGGATTTTGATGAACCAGTCAGTACGAAGCAACACTCCTGGGACCGTGTATTCCAGGCGGGAGTCTATTATTTACAACTCCACGCTGGATGTCTGCATTGTTGTTGCATTTTCGCACCTAGTAGATCTACTCCTGCGACTATCAGACACCAATCGATTTGCGAATCACGATGTGATATCAAAATGCAACTCGAGAACAGATTAATTAAAATCTTGATTTATGTGAAAATTGCGCAAAAACTTAAACATGGCTGCTAAAGGGTACCCGTGAACCCGCCCGTTAAGAAAATTACCCGTTCGTTAGTTAAAGGTACACCCGTTCGACCCCTAGCGTGTTGTTCAAAATGTTTGAACTGCGCTCGCTTGCTGGTTTTCTTTGCTTGCTGTTTTCTTTGCCAGTCAAGCGTGGGGACGCTACGGTGTCATCCTCCTTGGCTGTGTGTCCGGTACGGGGCCGGGTACGTGCGTCCCCAGCTCTCCGTTCTTTGTTCTTTTTGGTTAGATTCTTCAATGGAGTTTGGAGATCATGTTTTGTAATACAGTCTTCGAAAGAGATCGATGCTCAAATGGTTGTTTCTAATGTAAGTGTGGGTTTGCGAGGGAACCGGTGAAACATTTGTTGTTGTTGTTGTTGTTGCTGTTTGTGTGTGATACACCGTGACTAGCTATTGCATTACCATTCTCTTTCTCTTGCGGTAGGTCTTCTTCATCAGATCATGCTGCTTGCAGATCTACAAAACAAGAAAAGAAACAGCAGCAAGGGTACACGGAGCATTGGATAAAGTAGTGTGTGTGTGTGTGTGTGTGTGTGTGTGTGTGTGTGTGCGTGCGCGCGTTAACCCATGATGTTCATGGTCACCTCGGATTAATCATTGTACTACTGTAGTACTTCCTCTGTATAAAAAACGTCGTGACTTTTTGAAGGCTGCACACAGCTCCGGAATTGTTCAGTTTGACTTGGAATACCACTAGTGGCATTATCTTACCTACTAACAAGCTATATTATACAAAGAAGAAAAGAAACTCAGATGAATGAGATTGAGTTCATTCAGAGTCTTCGCCGCTCGTGTCATTGTCACCCGATGACGCTGACTACTAGTATGCATCCCCAACAGTCGCTGTCTCCGTTCGCATTTCGTTCAGCTTCTTGTCAGCTGCAGTGATGACCCGACGCGGGACTTTGGCTACGTCCTTCCTCTGTCTTCATCCCCAGAGCTGCGTATGCCTCGGTGTCGACTATATTTTGTTCTCACCCGTGCACTCATGCCGTGAAACGAGGCATACAAGCACATCCACACGCTTCGCATTTTCTCGGTAGGATACTACAACGGCTTTGAGGACGTCCCTGCGATTCTCCTTGGCGACAAAGGAAACGCCTGACTGGAGAGCAGCGAAGAAAGCCAGGTTGTCAACATTCGGATTCGAGCTCTGCGCTGGTGGCACTGCGACTGAAATGTTTCATCTTGCCGTGCGAGCGTCCAGCTTCGTGTTCTCATGCTGCGTATGAGGCCGCGCGCCCTCGTGCTGTCAGTTCAGAGCCTGGTCAGCTTCAGGGCAGTGAGTGGCGTGTGACTTCACTTTCCAGCCACGAGTTCCACTGCTTCACTGCATCAGTTTCGAGCAAGTAAGCAAAGTTAGTTTTGACACATGGCTGTCGTGGAGAATCTGTTAGGAATCAACCAAACTTACCTCGACATGAATGTGGGTTGTCGATGACAGCCTTTGGTGTGGCTCATTGGAGCGTTCTTGCTCAAATACACCGTTGAAAAAAAGGCACGAAGTTTTTTTGTATACAGAGGAAGTATGTCCACATGTTGCACGTGACTTAGCAGTAAAGAGTAAACGATACACAAAAACACTATCACCTGCATGTACTCAGACTCTAGTCTCACCTTCTCTTTCTCTCCCGGAGATATATGGTTAGAACCTGCACAGCGAACGGTAGAGAAGAACAGAAGTAACACTGCTACTAATGTGGACATATGTGGACATAAATTATCTTTCTGTTGAAAGTTGGACAAAGATGATTCAAACGAGATCTTTGCATTCATTTTGCTGGGAATCAAATGCTCATCACTGCTTGTGATGCAATTCAATGCAAAACGAACAACGACGACAGTAACAGTAGCGATAGCACCAGTACTAGCACCAGCCACAACGTCAGCCAGCAATGACAACATCGCCAACATCATCATCACCACCAGCACCAGCACCCAGCCAATGATCAAAACAACAACAACAAAAATTCGACGGGTTCACATACCGGGCAGGTCAAGAACAAGGAGTCATACAACTCCCTGGTCAAGGACCACCTTTCCGCTTCCGTGGGACGCCACCACCCCATGATCAGGCGTCAGATCAAAACAATAGGTACCTGCAAACCAGCTCCTTGCAACCAAGAATGTCAGAATAATGATAAAAGTCGTACACACCTCCTTTGATCTGCTCCAATCGCTCCTCCATTTCTTTCACCTGCTCAAAAAAACAATCACGACACCAAGAAAAAAATAGGTCAGGTCTCCCGGCTCAAAGCAAGAAGTTAAGCGCTCTCCTGCTGTCAACCGGTGTGAGATGTTTTCGATGCAGCTCATCCGTGGAGTTACAATGCCCCCTCAGGGAGGCTCCGCGACAGGCGAGAGCCATTGTTACCAGTGTAGTGGTAACTCCAAGTGCGGATCTAGCTGTAGCTGCCGAGAATCGAATAAATCCTACCGAAATTGCACACCAGGAAGGAAAGCAAAATTCCGCAACTCTCCTCCCGCCACCCAGTCAACAAATCCCGTAGGTGTTCAAACGGTGCGCCACATGCCGGCACCATCACCCACGGAGGGGTCGGAAGTGTGCGACAGGCTAATAGTAATGCATGTAGTACTGATCAACATCAGACGACCGCCAACCACTCACCCACCGAGCTTAGCCCTCAGAGTCAAACGGCGCGACATGGTACAGCCACCGCAACAGCTCATACTGCTGATAGTCCTAGTGCGACCGCCTCCGATATGCCTGTCTCTTGTCCTGTCTCTTGTTCTCAACAGCTGGCCTGGGACGTAGTGGAAAATGAGCAGAACCGTGCACTCCTCCAGCCCGTGACTGTACATGACACTACGCTATTGGCAAACTTGGACTCATCACAATCAACTGAGCTGGGTCTCCACATGGCCCACCCCGTGCCTGAATCCCTCGATGCAGCAGCCCCACCACCTGGTCCAGGGGTCAATGGTCTCCCCAACCTCCCAGACTACCCACGTACCCTTGGAGATAGATTCTCACTAGGGGATTTGGGCATACAGGAGACTGCTGGCTGTATCAATACTGCCTATGAAGCACTAGTTCAATACCGCCCAAATGTAATGCAAGTACCACGGGGTAACACTGGCAAGGACTTTGTGTCTCAACTCGCCCAGTACATACAGTGCTTTGCTGGGAGAGGACAGTATGTGGGCCAAGCTTTCAAAGTTGCGATGGTGTTTCAAATGCTGCTGCTGGATTGCCGGGGTGCTGCGGAGCTATTGATGGAACCTTCATGCACATCGACAAGCCTCTGTCGTTTGGAGATGCGCATTACTGCTACAAGCAGTTCACTGCAATTTTGCTGCTTGCGTGTGTGAACAGTGCAGGACTGATGACGTTAGGAGAGCTGCCTTCAACACTCATGGAGCTGCAGGTCCGTCTGGCATTGATGCAGACGCGTGGAGATGGATGTGCACAGCATTCTCGGAAGCATCAGACTTGCTACGTGATGCGCCGGCTGCCTCTACTCGACGGCTTGCAACAGAACATGTTGACCCAGTCACCCTGGAGGCAGACGAAGCATCAAAGCTTATCCCGCTCGGCAAAGATCCTGGGGTTCGCCCTATCGGCATAGGCGAAGCGGTGAGACGGATCATTGGCAAAGCCACCCTTGCCCTCATCAGAAGCGGCATCCAGGAAACGGCAGGAAGTCTCCAATTGTGTGCTGGACAGGGATGCAGTATCGAGGCCGCAATCCATGCAATGCAGCAGATGTTTGACCAAGACGAAACCGAGGCAGCGTTGATGGCAGATGCCACAAACGCCTTCAGCTTAACCGGGAAGTCCTCGGTGACACTCTCGATACTGTTCGCCAGACAAAGCGGAAACTGGCCAATGACACCAGAATGCCCACAGGGAGAGCCGCCACTGAATTCCTGCTGTCACTCCCATCGGGTCTTCAGCATTGCATGAAACTAGCCAGCGAGAAAGGTGCCTCCTCCTGGCTCACCTGTAGCCTTCTGAAGGCATACGCACTCGCTTTGTCGAAGGGCGAATTATTAGTTTGTTCTTTTGTTATGATTTCTTGGTTTTTCACTCAGCTTTATTATCATTTTTACTTTTTATTTGGTGCACCTTAACCCTTTACCAGCCGCAGGATTTATATGTAAAAAAAACGGGGTCCACTAGATTGATAATAGAGACTATACGGTAAATAATTTGTATTGACACCTTTACAGTTCTGGAAAGCTGGTAGAATTACCTTTCATACGAGACTAAAACCAAGCTGATAACATGTAGAAACGTTGCCATTCATGGTGACCAATAACTCGAGCAATGCGGCCGAATTAGCAAATTCGAGGACCATGACAATATGTACACTGTTCAGCTTCAGCTCATGCACCAGTTCATCTGTCAAGATTCAAACACCAGCAGAACCAGGCTGCTCTAGCGCTCATTTTTGGTGCATGTCACGCATGGGCTGTGCACTGGGGAATTCGCAAACACATACTTCAGCATGAAGTGCGTCACAGCCACACGCTTGAAATTTCAACTCCACCCGTTTGCTGGACTTCGAGCTTCGGCGCTTGAGTATTTTACTTCGCGCTATATCGAATGATACATCGTTGGAAAGCTGCGTTCAATAACTTTCCAATGAGCCTTCATATGTTGAATTTGAAGTAGGCAGACCAAAGTTATAGCTGTTTGTACAGTGCTCTATGCTCGTTTAGCATGAAATGTGCCACAGTCACACGCTTGAAATTTCAACTTCAACCTGTTTCCTGGACTTCGAGCTTCGGCGCTTGAGTATTTTAAATACCTTCACGCTATATCGAATGAAACATCGTTGGAAAGCTGCGTTCAATAGCTTTCCAATGAGCCGTCATATGTTGAATTTGATGAAGGCAGACCGACGTTATAGTTGTTTGTACAGTGCTCTATGCTCGTTTAGCATGAAGTGCGTCACAGTCACACGCTTGAAATTTCAACTTCACCCGTTTTCTGGACTTCGAGCTTCGGCGCTTGAGTATTTTACTTCGCGCTATATCAAATGAAACATCGTTGGAAAGCTGCGTTCAATAGCTTTCCAATGAGCCTTCATACGTTGAATTTGAAGTAGGCAGACCGAAGTTATAGCTGTTTGTACACTGCTCTATGCTCGTTTGTAGCATGAAATGTGCCAGAGTCACACGCTTGAAATTTCAACTTCACCTGTTTCCTGGACTTCGAGCTTCGGCGCTTGAGTATTTTACTTCGCGCTATATCGAATGAAACATTGTTGGAAAGCTGCGTTCAATAGCTTTCCAATGAGCCGTCATTTGTTGAATTTGAAGTAGCCAGACCGAAGTTATAGCTGTTTGTACAGTGCTCAGCATGAAGTGCGTCACGCTTGAAATTTCAACTTCACCCAGGTGCATTCAACAGCGATTTTCTCGAAAAAATGATGTGCAGCACACGGTTTTCTCGATGGTAGGTGATTCCGTAGGTTTTCAGCAGTAGTTTGCGATTATTCCGACCGCGGTGCGGCAAGACCATGGTTTACAGAGCGAAAACGAATGCGTCGAATTCGACGCATTCACACTATGTACGGCTGGTAAAGGGTTAAACGCTACGTGGTTTATGATTTCCCTTTTTTTCTTTTTCTTGATTTTGTATTTAGCGCTTTCGGGTGCTATTGGTATTTTTTCTTATTTTCAGAAAGGAAAAGAACGATACGAGTTACGGTGGCTGGGGTGGTACAACTTTTTAGGGGTAATTTTGATTACATTTTGACTACATTTTGACTGCAATTTTGAGTTTATCGGCAAGGTGGAGATGAAATTTGAAAATGTTTTTCGGTGAATCTCTGGGGAAGAGCCTTCTCTAGCCTCCTATAGTTTTATTAATTTTTTACTTTCGGACAAAATTTGAAAAAGTTTTATGAAAGGTCCGTGTTATTTTGCATACGCTGCGCTGTGGTTGAACAAGTTCTGATTTTTTTATTCTCTATTGCGGACCACATGGATGCAGTGAATGGGATTTCAGTCTTTGACCACTTTGTGGTGGGTCTGATCTACTCACCTCCCACCGCTTAGGAGCTGCATCTGCGCCTTGATCCAAGAGGGTGGTGGCGTTCCTGCGGATGCGGAAAACTGGGCCTTTGGCCGAGTCTCACGCGAACCGTGAAATTTTTATTTTTATTTTTTTTATTGCGGACCACCTTCCAAAGCTACACTGATCAGAATATCTGGTAAAAATGCGCAGATTTCATTTCACTAAAAAAAGTCATCGGTTGGCAGGAAGCGTGAGCTACAACACAAGCAGCAACTGACTTTTCCGATATGTTATCACTGTGAAATTTACAGCATCTTAGTTTGTGTCTTTGTGTTGTGTTTCGACTGATTAGCCGACATTGGTAGCCCCCGCCCCTCTCTCTCTCTCTCTCTCTCTCTCTCTCTCTCTCTCTCTCTCTCTCTCTCTCTCTCTCTCTCTCTCTCTCTCTCTCTCTCTCAGTATTGGCTAGCTTCCACATGCCAGGAGATGCCGCTTCAATAAACAAATAAACAGAAATAATTGCTACGCATGAGGTAGGGTGGTAATTCTCACCTCTTTCGAGACAATTGCCAGTTGCTTCTCAGCTTCTTCTGTTGTAAGAGCACTGGTTAGGCCGCTCAGTGTGGCCTCCTTGGTGCGACACTCGGCCTCTAGCCCCGTCAGCTCCTTTTGCACTTCGGCAGCCTTGGCGTCCACCGCAGCCATTTCCTCCTCAGTCATCTCGGACTCATCTGACTGCAGCGGCATGCAGGTATGGCAAACAAAACGGACACAGATACATGAACATACATGTGTATTACCCTCCCCCCCCCCCCCCCCCCCCCCCACACACACACACAGCTGAAGTGAACATCAATAGCACCACTGTAAGAATCACTGACATGCAAATTCAAGCCTGGATGGATATGAAAAAACACAGTGTGTCCACTAGTACCAAGAGTACATAACCCCCCAGAGTGTGCAACGCCGATCCAGCTCTGCATAGGGTTTTGGTCGAGCGGAATCGGATCTTCTGATGTCATGCGTACACTCCACACCACCGCAAGCCCGGGGTCTCGAGGCAGGGCACCGTTGTTTTTGATCCGAGTGTACTCGCGACTCCCCGGGTTCCCCTCAGATGTGTACGGTATTATGACGCAAAGATCCGATTACGCTCGACCAAGACCCTACGCAGAGCTGGATCAGGCGTTGCACACTCTGGGGGGGGTTATGTACTCTTGGTAGTACCTCACTGGCCATGTTCAACAAAACAACACATGTTTCGCCAGTGGACTTGGGACAACGTTCAGCACCCACACACAACAGAGGTATTGACAGGTTTGAGTGGAGTTAGGGTAGAGTTCACTGTCAATCACACAGGTTTCCTAAATTTTTCACCGGTTTTCAAGCGGATTTAGGATGCGATATATCAAGCAATGTGGCAGGACCGGCGCCACTGGTACGGCCATGGCCGTACCAACTTCCCAAAAAGTCGGTCCACGTGGAACGTCCAAAACCGGGGAGAAAAAGTTTCGATGTATGATTTTGTACAGGGAGTCGCCCAGAGTGCAGGATTTGCCGTCTAAATTCCAAAAATATTATGGGGGAGGACCCCAGACCTCCCTTAACTTCGGCCGCACTGCTCCGCGGCAGCGGCCTCCGGCCCTGTGTGGACGCAGCAGCAGCAGCAATGCGTCTTGAAATTGAATACAGATTCCTTATCACTCACCTGGCAGACCATGTAGACTTTTTGCTTGCCATAGACCTTTTCTCGTACCTTGCCCTGCTGGGCCAAGTCTTCTAGTGCCTTCACCACAGCCTGGCAGTGGAGTTCGGGTGCAAGAGAAAAAGAAAGCAGGACATCAGTCAGTTTTGTGCTTAGTCATTGCACTTGCTGACTGCTTATTATCTTGTTACAGAAGTGGACAGTTAGTCATAACCCGTACCTATGTGTTCTGTCATATTTTTACATTTACTATTGGCTCAGCACCCGAGTTCAAAGCAGGAAAGACAACAGATTTGATTTGAAACCTACGAGGGACCTGGTCCATAATGATCAAGCTCATCAAGCATACATAAATGTGCTCAACTCCACACATAAAGTCAGGACGGCGGAATTTATCTATTTTTGTCGAATTTTCGGACGAATCATGGAAGCCATGATCCACGCCTACAGCATTGCGCTACTGCATCAGCACACGTGATATCGGTGTTGCCGTGCATGGACGTCAAGAGACGATTTTTCGACGATGAATTACTCTTCCCCGCCACCAATGCTGAGCTACATGTAGCTGCACACGCCGTTTCTCTGCTTTACGTCCACTTGATTACATCATCACCACGATGGTCATTGGTCAGTCTCAACAATTACATCATTTACCATGATGCCCAGTCTCAACAATTACATCATTTATCATGATGCCCAGTCTCATCAATTACATCATTATCATTATCTTTATGAGTGCCACACTACAGAGCATGGAACTAACCCATCATGCGCCTGATCCGTTAAACTTCAAAGCAAGTCCTACTCCGAGGGCATCGAGAGGAAGTGCCCAGAGACAAGAGTTTCGATGAATTAAATGGTATAGGGTATGGACGTTTCCAGCTCACAACGTGTGTACTAATCTAGCCCACGATATCTACAATACTGCCAGCTTACCGTCTTCCCCACTTCCTTATGCAGATTGCTGAAAATGTCACCTGAATCGGTCACAGCAACATGCAAGAACAGCATCATGCCTGTCAAGATCCACACTGATCACTGGCAACAACGCAGGAGGACCCCCACACTGGATATAGATAGTATAGTCATCTCTCTTTAATCCAGCACTTCATAAACCAGCATCATTTTCACTAACCAAAATGTCCTATTCATGCCAGCTTTTTTCTCTTCTTTAAAAAAAAAGAAAGAAGAAGAAATAGTACATGTACTGAAGTACTGGAAGAGTAGATCTACAGGTGTTACGTTCCCTTGCCTAGTCTTGCTACTAGCACTACCAAGAGTCCATAATCCCCTAAGAGAGTGTAACTAGCATTGGCCCAGTACCCGGCGAAATTTCTACATTACATCGCGCACATCGCGTCAACGGTCATCCATGTTATAGATCGCTTTTTTGTTTCTTTCCGATTTCTGGAAACCAAGGGTGCACATGCAACAAATGTGGACCTTAGCATGTAACTCTAGACAATTTTTTCTGCTCGTTTGCTTTTGCAAACATTATCCGACGAGGAAGCTACAAAAACTCTATTTACAAGCCACAATGTGGTTTCAAATTTGGGAATGAACTCGAAGTGGAATAGAGCAACGTGAGGACAGCGCAGAAGGTGTTGAACCTTCGCCTAAATACAGCTTCAGCAAATTGCTGCCGGGATTGTTCGTGAAGAGGATGCGGTGGAATTTGTTGCAAGCCTTGGATCTTCTTTCCAGACGTGAAGTGCAGCCCGGGGGTCATTTCATGTTCAAGGTCCTGCATGGCAGGTTCATGCAGAAGGGCAATGTGGACAAAACCTACATGAGTTGAAGCCATGTTTGGTGTGCAAGGTGTACCACACCTGGAGTGGAAGTATTGCCCAGGCATGTGAGAGGATGGAACTCGTTATGGGAGTGTGATTCGATTCCAGCCAGCCAAATTGAGATTGCGGAGCTTGCCATTGGTAAGAGCAGATTCATGCAAGAGTAGGAAGCGACGAGCGGGTTCTGGGCCAGGGGGCGCCCGGGTCCCAAAAAATGGGGTATTATTGAAAAATGGGGTACTAATAGTACCCCATTTTTGCGGTGAAAATTATTTTTGGCCCGGTTTTTTTGCGGATAAAAATATGTGCCAGGGGGTGCCCTGACCCCAAAAAATGGGGTATTATTGAAAATATGTGTTGTGCACATGTGGGTTTGAATCTCACTTTTTTGGGCCACCTTGCCCCGGATGGGAGTGGGTATAAAAAGTAGAATGTTGAATATGGTGTTTATCATGAAGTTTTTTCCGTGACCTACCCCACCTCCCCATGCAATTTTTCAAAAATGGTCCTGCTCGCACACACGTCAGAAAGGTCAGTTCTTGATAGATACGATACATGTCATTACAAAGAATAATGGAACGAACAGTGAATATCGCAATGGAGTGGAGGAGAAAGGTAGTACAATTCAGTTCTTGTTGTCCTGATTTCATCAAGCTGGTATTGGATGAGAGACCACAAAGTTTACTCTTCGAATACGTGTGAGGATGGATTCACCCATGATCTCTTCCGTGACACGCAGTACGAGGTGGAGTTGTCGGACGCTCTGATGTGCACCAATGGTTCCACCCAGTCAGCAATGGAACTGTCAGTCGACGACCTCCTTTGCACCGCCATCGTGTCAACAGTCGACTCGGGTAATTTGGAGATGAATCCATCGTCGCCGATGTCGATCGTACCAACCCGCACACGAATCCGCGTTACTCTTGTTGCAACGGCACGGAGTTGAACGGCCTTGGTACTACGTCGTACACGCACACGATCAACTCGAGAGACTTCATTTTTCGTTCACCTCCTTGACAAGTTGCATTACGTCGCTGGAATCCAAATAGGTTGCATCAGCGAAGAGGTCGATGATGTGTTGAGAGCACGGTTCGTCACGCATGTCACTAAGCTTGTAGAATGAGTGTCTACCATCAGTCCACCTTCGCAGTATGACACCATCATCAGTCTCACTAATAGTTCCGTAGTCCTCCACACCACCGATGACGATTTTAGGAAGGTGCTGTTTCCTATTCTTCACATTCAAGATCAGACTGGTGACCCTGCAGATAATATACTCAGCAGCAGTGAGTGGTGACATATCGAATCTTCTGGGATGTGCTATCATCGGGTCAAGATCCCTGGTTGTCTTGCTAGCACTGAGGCGACGGATTGAGAACTCTTCATTATCGCATGAAAATAAATACCATTTCTCTGCTCTGCACGTCTCAGAAAATGTCCACGCCATTTTAGCTTCTTCACACTGCAAGAAGGAGTCGATAATGAAACTGCAGGTTGAGACTACTTCACCTCGAGGTCAAAGTTCACGCCGCGATGACCTTTGTAAACAAGGCTACGTCTAGACGTCTCAAACAAGACCAAGGGGTCACGCCACGGGGAGGTGACGACCTTGGAGAACACGATGTGTTTCGAAAGCGGAAAGACGCCCCCGTCATGGTGAGTCTTTTTTGTTCGGGTTTGGAATCTTTCGACTATGATATCAGATTGAGATGTGAATGCCTTTCTTCTATTGCTTTGACCTTTGGGCCAAATAAGGCACACTGTGTCGGTCGTGCTTAGTCTGACCCCGGGACTCCCCCCCCCCCCCCAGGGTTTGACCTTTGACCTTTGGGTTGAATAAGGCACACTTATCGTCATTGTTAATCTTTATTCTGTTCATTTTTTATTTATTTTTTCAGGAGTATTTTGCTATTATCCCCGGATAGGAGTGGGTATAAAAGTAGATATATTGATGGATAATGTTTCACTATGAAGATGATGGTGTGGGGTGAAGATGGATTCTGAATTAGAGATCTTACGTGCCTATGTACGTGAAAAGAGACTTCGTGAAGAAGAAGAAGAACAAGAAGAAGAAGAAGAACAAGAAGGAGGAGAAGAAGAAGAAGAGCAAGAAGGGAAGGAAAAGCAGTGTCATCATCTTGATCATGTTGTTCATGAAGGAAGATACGTATGTTCTTCTTGTGGACTTGTCATGGATGTGGTTTACTTACCTGAAGTTGATGTGCATCAGAGATGTAGTTTGATGAAGAAGCCTTACGCTGCGCATGAGCGGTTATGTGGTGTGGATCGTCATCTTTTGCATTTTCTTTCGAAAACTGAACTCTTATCCGATCAGCTTCGTGTACACCCTCTTCGAGAGCAGATACGTGCGATGAAGAAGTCCTGTTTGTACAAGAGTATAAATTATGCTATAGCATTATCCTGTATAGTATACGATACGAATGTGGATGCATTACGTAAACTGTATTCATACTTACCTCATAGCAATGTAGCCTGGTTGAGGTTCAGTCGAATCATGAAACCTCTTCCTCAGCATTTTCCACTCCTATACGTACTGCATCTCATGGAGTCGACTAGGATGGTGTCTTCATTGCAATTGTCCACGTTGCGTTCGAATTTGCTGCTTTTATCTCAATCTGATATATCTCTTATGACATCATTGATTGATGCTTATTGCTGGGAAATCTATTCACTTGATCACGTGATCCAGAACATGCACACGTTTGACTGTGATCTTCTTTCCATACTGTATCAATTCACCAAGGTGGCGGTATCATGTAAGGAATCTTTATAATGAGATATGATTTTGGCGGGCACGATGCTGATTGATCAAATGTTTTTGGCGGGCTTGATGCTGATTGGTGAAATGTTTTTGGCGGGCTTGATTGGTTGACACATATCTTATCATTTCAATCCACATACCTCTCTGGCTCGTATAAACGAATGATTGTCTGCAGTTGAGTCATTCGTTCATCGAATACAGTGCTGACGAGTTGTCCTGACTTCACTTCCTAGAAGATGGCTTCCCTATACGAGCGAAGGATGAAGAAGAATTCCGCTCTTCCTGCTGACCCTCCTCGAGTTGTGCTCTCTTCGAAGCCAGTACCGGCTAAGCGTCGCTATGCATCACCTGCTCCTACCAAGCTCCACAAAGAGATTGTGGTGGATGGGTTTCAGGAGGACATGCAGCTGCCCTACAAGTTATCTGGTAAATCCTTCTACAAGCCTGGATATAAGATGTACTTCCCTTCGGGAGCTCTGCCAGCCTGTGGTAGTACGGCAACAGCTCGCAAAGATGCTCAAGGACAAGTTTACATCGAACTGAACGAGTCCACTGAGTTCATCATTACGAACTTGATCAAGACTTGTCCATCGCTCCGTGACACTCTCCGAAGTGGACGTGTGGAGAAGATCATAACCAACTTCTATACATCACGTTCGTCCGACGGTCAATGTCGGGTGTACATCAACGGTGAAAACAAGCTAGTCCCGACCAGCTCGTTTGAACTGGATGTGGAACAAGATGTATTCATCTACCCCGGGGCAGTCTCCCTAGACACTGACGAGCAAGTGATGAAGGTACGTCTTGCTGTTGCTCCAATCATCTGCATCAACGTGGAACCCAGATGTTTTCATCGTGCTCTGGACGCACACATGGCACTTTCTATCACGGAGCTGAAACAGCTGACTGAGAGCTTCACATCATTATGCAGTGTCGTCGTCCAACAAGACGATCAGCTGGTAGAGACCTTCCAATAAGTCTTTAATGAACTGCCTTCTTTATCACACAGCTGATCATTCATTCTTATTCTATCCTATACTATCCTATACTACTTTCTACGTCAATACCTCATGATACTCATTAAAAAAAAAAAAAACTTCTAAAGAACAAGTATGGGTGGTGTTGTGTCGAGTAGTACGTCCACGGAAGAGTGCTGCCTTGCCTCTTCGGACTCTAGTATCCCCACTGCTACTACTAGTGGAGAATGGGTTGCAGGATGTGAAAAGAATGGAATTGGGAAAGATGAACCAGGGTGATCTCATGTGAACACCATCAATGAATGCGTCATTCATGACAAGATCAATCATGTCAAGGTTACATCATCTGTTTTTGGCGGGCTTGATGGTGATTGGTTGACAACTTTGCATTTTCAACCCACCCCATTCTGACTTGTATAAATATGCAT